ACCGGGGGTCCCGATTTCACGCGCGGCGAGACCGGAAGTCGCGGGCTAAGCGCGTGGGCGAGCGTGAGTGCCGGGGGCGGGGCCTGAGGGAGTGAGGAGTGAGGGGCGGGGCCTGAGGGAGTGAGGAGTGAGGGGCGGGGCCTGAGGGAGTGAGGAGTGAGGGGCGGGGCCGAGGGGAGTGAGGGGGGGGCCGAGGGAGGAGGGAGGGGGGGGCCGAGGGAGGAGGGGGTGAGGGGCGGGCCGAGGGAGTGAGGAGTGAGGGCGGGGCCTGAGGGAGTGAGGGGCGGGGCCTGAGGGAGTGAGGAGTGAGGGGCGGGGCCTGAGGGAGTGAGGGCGGGGCCCTGAGGGGGAGGGCGGGGCCTGAGGGAGGAGGAGTGAGGGGCGGGGCCTGAGGGAGTGAGGAGTGAGGGGCGGGGCCTGAGGGAGTGAGGGGCGGGGCCTGAGGGAGTGAGGAGTGGGGGCGGGGCCTGAGGGAGTGAGGAGTGGGGGGCGGGGCCTGAGGGGAGTGAGGGGAGTGAGGGGGCGGGGCCTGAGGGAGTGAGGAGTGAGGGGCGGGGGGCCTGAGGGAGTGAGGGAGTGAGGGGCGGGGCCTGAGGGAGTGAGGAGTGAGGGGCGGGGCCTGAGGGAGTGAGGAGTGAGGGCGGGCCTGAGGGAGTGAGGAGTGAGGGGGGGCCTGAGGGAGTGAGGGCGGGGCCTGAGGGAGTGAGGGGCGGGGCCTGAGGGAGTGAGGAGTGAGGGGCGGGCCTGAGGGAGTGAGGGGCGGGGCCTGAGGGAGTGAGGAGTGAGGGGCGGGGCCTGAGGGAGTGAGGGAGTGAGGGGCGGGGCCTGAGGGAGTGAGGAGTGAGGGGCGGGGGCCTGAGGGAGTGAGGGAGTGAGGGGCGGGGCCTGAGGGGAGTGAGGAGTGAGGGGCGGGGCCTGAGGGAGTGAGGAGTGAGGGGGGGCCTGAGGGAGTGAGGAGTGAGGGGCGGGGCCTGAGGGAGTGAGGGGCGGGGCCGAGGGAGTGAGGGGCGGGGCCTGAGGGAGTGAGGAGTGAGGGGCGGGGCCTGAGGGAGTGAGGGGCGGGGCCTGAGGGAGTGAGGAGTGAGGGGCGGGGCCTGAGGGAGTGAGGGAGTGAGGGGCGGGGCCTGAGGGAGTGAGGAGTGAGGGGCGGGGCCTGAGGGAGTGAGGGGCGGGGCCTGAGGGAGTGAGGAGTGAGGGGGCGGGGCCTGAGGGGTGAGGAGTGAGGGGGCGGGGCCTGAGGGAGTGAGGGAGTGAGGGGCGGGGCCTGAGGGAGTGAGGAGTGAGGGGCGGGGCCTGAGGGAGTGAGGGGGTGAGGGGGCGGGGCCTGAGGGAGTGAGGAGTGGGGCGGGGCCTGAGGGAGTGAGGAGTGAGGGGGGGGCCTGAGGGAGTGAGGGAGTGAGGGGCGGGGCCTGAGGGAGTGAGGGAGTGAGGGCGGGGCCTGAGGGAGTGAGGGAGTGAGGGGCGGGGCCTGAGGGAGTGAGGAGTGAGGGGCGGGGCCTGAGGGAGTGAGGGGCGGGGGCCTGAGGGAGTGAGGAGTGAGGGGCGGGGCCTGAGGGAGTGAGGAGTGAGGGGCGGGGCCTGGGAGTGAGGAGTGAGGGGCGGGGCCTGAGGGAGTGAGGAGTGAGGGGCGGGGCCTGAGGGAGTGAGGGGCGGGGCCTGAGGGAGTGAGGGGCGGGGCCTGAGGGAGTGAGGGAGTGAGGGGCGGGGCCTGAGGGAGTGAGGAGTGAGGGGGGGGGCCTGAGGGAGTGGGAGTGAGGGGCGGGGCCTGAGGGAGTGAGGGGCGGGGCCTGAGGGGTGAGGGAGTGAGGGCGGGGCCTGAGGGGAGTGAGGGCGGGGCCTGAGGGGAGTGAGGAGTGAGGGGCCTGAGGGGAGTGAGGAGTGAGGGGCGGGGCCTGAGGGAGTGAGGGGCGGGGGCCTGAGGGGAGTGAGGGGCGGGGCCTGAGGGAGTGGGAGTGAGGGGCGGGGCCTGAGGGAGTGAGGAGTGAGGGGCGGGGCCTGAGGGAGTGAGGGAGTGAGGGGCGGGGCCTGAGGGGAGTGAGGGGCGGGGCCTGAGGGAGTGAGGGGCGGGGCCTGAGGGAGTGAGGGAGTGAGGGGGCGGGGCCTGAGGGAGTGAGGAGTGAGGGGCGGGGCCTGAGGGGTGAGGGGCGGGGCCTGAGGGAGTGAGGAGTGAGGGGCGGGGCCTGAGGGAGTGAGGAGTGAGGGGCGGGGCTGAGGGAGTGAGGGTGGGGCCTGGAGGGAGTGAGGGTGAGGGGCGGGGCCTGAGGGAGGAGGGAGTGAGGGGGCGGGGCCTGAGGGAGTGGGGGTGAGGGGCGGGCCTGAGGGAGTGAGGAGTGAGGGGCGGGGCCTGAGGGAGTGAGGAGTGAGGGGCGGGGCCTGAGGGAGTGAGGAGTGAGGGGCGGGCCTGAGGGAGTGAGGAGTGAGGGGCGGGGCCTGAGGGAGTGAGGAGTGAGGGGCGGGGCCTGAGGGAGTGAGGGGCGGGGCCTGAGGGAGTGAGGGGGGGGGCCTGAGGGAGTGAGGAGTGAGGGGCGGGGCCTGAGGGGAGGAGGGGCGGGGCCTGAGGGAGTGAGGGGTGAGGGGCGGGGCCTGAGGGAGTGAGGGGCGGGGCCTGAGGGAGTGAGGAGTGAGGGGCGGGGCCTGAGGGAGTGAGGAGGTGAGGGCGGGGCCTGGAGGGAGTGAGGAGTGAGGGGCGGGGCCTGAGGGAGTGAGGGGGCGGGGCCTGAGGGAGTGAGGAGTGAGGGGGGGCCTGAGGGAGTGAGGGGCGGGGCCTGAGGGAGTGAGGAGTGAGGGGCCTGAGGGAGTGAGGGGGAGGGGCGGGGCCTGAGGGAGTGAGGGGCGGGGCCTGAGGGAGTGAGGGGCGGGGCCTGAGGGAGTGAGGAGTGAGGGGCCTGAGGGAGTGAGGGGTGAGGGCGGGGCCTGAGGGAGTGAGGGGGCGGGGCCTGAGGGAGTGAGGAGTGAGGGGCGGGGCCTGAGGGAGTGAGGGAGTGAGGGGCGGGGCCTGAGGGAGTGAGGAGTGAGGGGCGGGGCCTGAGGGAGTGAGGGGTGAGGGGCGGGGCCTGAGGGAGGGGGGGGCCTGAGGAGTGAGGAGTGAGGGGCGGGGCCTGAGGGAGTGAGGAGTGAGGGCGGGGCCTGAGGGAGTGAGGGTGAGGGGCGGGGCCTGAGGGAGTGAGGGGGCGGGGCTGAGGGAGTGAGGGAGTGAGGGGCGGGGCCTGAGGGAGTGAGGGGCGGGGCCTGAGGGAGTGAGGGAGGGGCCTGAGGGAGGGAGGAGTGAGGGGCGGGGCCTGAGGGAGTGAGGGGCGGGGCCTGAGGGAGTGAGGGGCGGGGCCTGAGGGAGTGAGGAGTGAGGGGCGGGGCCTGAGGGAGTGAGGAGTGAGGGGGGGCCTGAGGGAGTGAGGAGTGAGGGGCGGGGCCTGAGGGAGTGAGGGCGGGGCCTGAGGGAGTGAGGGGGCGGGGCCTGAGGGAGTGAGGAGTGAGGGGCGGGGCCTGAGGGAGTGAGGAGTGAGGGGCGGGGCCTGAGGGAGTGAGGGGGGGCCTGAGGGAGTGAGGAGTGAGGGGCGGGGCCAGGGAGTAGGGGGGCCTGAGGGAGTGAGGGGCGGGGCCTGAGGGAGTGAGGAGTGAGGGGGCGGGGCCTGAGGGAGTGAGGAGGAGGGGCGGGGCCTGAGGGAGTGAGGGGCGGGGCCTGAGGGAGTGAGGAGTGAGGGGGCGGGGCCTGAGGGAGTGAGGAGTGAGGGGCGGGGCCTGGGGAGTGAGGGGCGGGGCCTGAGGGAGTGAGGAGTGAGGGGCGGGGCCTGAGGGAGTGAGGAGTGAGGGGGCGGGGCCTGAGGGAGTGAGGGGTGGGGCCTGAGGGAGGAGGAGTGAGGGGCGGGGCCTGAGGGAGTGAGGAGTGAGGGGGGGGCCTGAGGGAGGAGGGGTGAGGGGCGGGGCCTGAGGGAGTGAGGAGTGAGGGGCGGGGCCTGAGGGAGTGAGGAGTGAGGGGCGGGGCCTGAGGGAGTGAGGAGTGAGGGGCGGGGCCTGAGGGAGTGAGTGAGGGGGGGCCTGAGGGAGTGAGGAGTGAGGGGCGGGGCCTGAGGGAGTGAGGAGTGTGGGGCGGGGCCTGAGGGAGTGAGGAGTGAGGGGCGGGGCCTGAGGGAGTGAGGAGTGAGGGGCGGGGCCTGAGGGAGTGAGGGGGTGAGGGGCGGGGCCTGAGGGAGTGAGGGAGTGAGGGGCGGGGCCTGAGGGAGTGAGGAGTGAGGGGCGGGGCCTGAGGGAGTGGGGCGGGCCTGAGGGAGTGAGGAGTGAGGGGCGGGGCCTGAGGGAGTGAGGGGCGGGGCCTGAGGGAGTGAGGAGGAGGGGCCTGAGGGATGGGAGGAGGGGCGGGGCCTGAGGGAGTGAGGGGCGGGGCCTGAGGGAGTGAGGGGCGGGGGCCTGAGGGAGTGAGGAGTGAGGGGCCTGAGGGAGTGAGGAGTGAGGGGGGGGGCCTGAGGGAGTGAGGTGAGGGGGGCGGGGCCTGAGGGAGTGAGGAGTGAGGGGCGGGGCCTGAGGGAGTGAGGAGTGAGGGGGGGCCTGAGGGAGTGAGGAGTGAGGGGCGGGGCCTGAGGGAGTGAGGGGGTGAGGGGCGGGGCCTGAGGGGAGTGAGGAGTGAGGGGGCGGGGCCTGAGGGAGTGAGGAGTGAGGGGCGGGGCCTGAGGGAGTGAGGGGCGGGGCCTGAGGGAGTGAGGAGTGAGGGGCGGGGCCTGAGGGAGTGAGGGGCGGGGCCTGAGGGAGTGAGGAGTGAGGGGCCTGAGGGAGTGAGGAGTGAGGGGCGGGGCCTGAGGGAGTGAGGGGCGGGGCCTGAGGGAGTGAGGGGCGGGGCCTGAGGGAGTGAGGAGTGAGGGGCGGGGCCTGAGGGAGTGAGGAGTGAGGGGGGGCCTGCGGGCGGAACCGGAAGTTGCGCTCTAAACCGGAAGTGGCCCCTTTTAAACCGGAAGTGACGCTCCTCCCCGCCCCGCAGGCCCCGCCCCGGCCCCGCCCCGCCCCGCCCGGCCATGGCGTCGGCCGCCACCATCGTGCACGACCCCTCGGAGGCGACGCCGCTGTGCCCGGCGCTGGGCCTGTACCTGAAGCCGATCACGAAGCTGGCGATCTGCGTGGCGCTGCCGCCGCCGCTGCGCGCGCCCGGCAAGTCCGTGTCCAACTGGGAGGTGATGGAGCGGCTGCGCGCGATGGCGGCCGCGCGGCGGCGGCGTCACTTCCGGGTCCGCTTCCGGGTCCGCTCTCCGGGTCCACTTCCGGTTCCGGCGGGGAGGCGGAGTCCGCGGGGCGCGGGCCGCTGTCGGCGCTGCGCATCGCCAAGAGCTCGCTGGACTTCGTGCGCTTCGAGGCGGAGGTGGAGAACCGCGCGCTGGTGCGGCCGCTGCTCGCCCGCCTGGACGGCGGCGCCATCAGGCTGGGCGGCTTCCCCGACGCGCTGCGCGTGCGCGCCGCCGAGTTCCGCCCCGACTTCCCGTCCCGCCACGACTGGGACGCCTTCTTCCGCGACGCACGCGACATGGACGAGGCGCTGCCCGGCGAGCGCCCGACACCATCCGCCTCGAGGGGCTGCCCTGCCGCTGGTTCGCGCCGCGGCCCGGGGACGCGCCGGTGCCACTTCCGGTTCCACTTCCGGTTCCACTTCCGCTTCCGGTCCTACTTCCGGTTCCGCGAGCGACCGGCCCAGCGAGGCGCTGCTGCGCCAGGCGTTCGGCGCGTTCGGGCGCCATCCGGCACGTGGACATCCCCATGCTCGACCCGTACCGCGGCGAGGCGGCGGGGCGCGGCTTCCACACGTTCGGGCTGGGCGGGCAGCTGCACTTCGAGGCCTTCGTGCAGTACCGCGAGTACGCGGGGTTCGCGCGCGCCATGGCGGCGCTGCGGGGCACGAAGCTCATGCTCAAGGGCGAGGACGGCAAGGCGGTGGCGTGCGGCATCAAGGTGCGCGGGGACCGGAAGTGGACCCGGAAATGAACCCGGAAGTGGGCGTGGCGGGAGCGGAAGTGGCGGAAACGGAACCGGAAGTGGGACCGGAAGTGGCGGAACCGGAAGTGGGACCGGAAGTGACGGAACCGGAAGTGGGCGTGGCTGACGTGTTTTTTCCTCCCGGCCCCGCCCCGCCCCGCAGGTCTCGTTCGACGCCACCAAGCACCTGAGCGACGCCTCGATCCGGCGGCGGCAGCTGGAGCGGCAGAAGCTGCGGGAGCTGGAGCTGCAGCGCGAGGAGCAGAAGCGGCGCGAGCGCGAGGACGAGGAGCGGCGGCGCCTGGAGGAGCGGTGGGCTGGGCCCGGGCGGGACGGGGCGGGGCCCGGGCGGAGCGGGGCGGATTGCATATTCATGAGGGGCTGGGGCTGCGCTCATTTGCATATTCATTAACGGGGACTGGCGAATCTGCATAGCGAAAGACGGGGTTCGCTCATTTGCATATGAATGAGCGGGGATTTGCATATTCATGAGCTACGGATGAATGAGTTGCGACCTGAAGCGAGCTAATTTGCATACGAGACGGTCTGGGCTGTGGTGATTTGCATATTCACGATCCCCGGGCTACTGATTTGCATATTCATCAAGGCGAGCCCGCTAATCTGCATACGAGCTTGCTGGAATCGGTTAATTTGCATACGGGCCGGCTTGTTTTGGTTAATTTGCATATGAAGGCGTCGTGTGTGCTTCTCATTTGCATACCGAGGTTCCGGCCTGATATGCAAATTCCCTTACCCCGCCCTGATTTGCATTCGGAGTGGACGGCAATAACTGCACTAATTTGCATACTGACTTTGCTGATTTGCATACAGGGCCTGGCCCACGCTCGTAACTGACGCGTGTTGTTCAGTGCTTATTTGCATAACTGCTGACAGTGGCGGCTCTGATTTGCATATTCACGAGCCCACGAGACGCTGGCTGATTTGCATATCCGCACTGATCTGCATACTAATGAGTCAGGACCGTCACCCTCATTTGCATGTTAATGAGGCGCGATTTGCATGTCTGTCACGTTTGCTCATCTGCATGTTCGCCCGGGGAATTTGCATAAGAGCCGGCTTCGCTCCTATTTGCATATTCAAGAACCCTGGCCGGCGCTCATTTGCATATTCACGACTCCCACATCGTGCTGATTTGCATATCCCGACTCATTTACATACGAGGCGGCTCGGGTCTGGCTTGTGTGAAGTGATTTGCATATTTATTATGATGGAGCAGTCTAATCTGCATATTAACACGGTTGTAATTTGCATAATTAGCGGTTTCTGCTCAACGAATATGCAAATCTGCATGGTAGCGAGCTGGGCTTCGTTAATTTGCATATGAAGTCATCAGGGCTCATTTGCATGCAGAGCAGACTGCCCTGGGCTCATTTGCGTATTCCGCTGAGCTGATTTGCATATTCGTATCCCCCAGTGCTCCCTTTCGGCCTCTGCTTTGCATATTAATGAGCAGTCACGCCCCGATTTGCATACTCGTCTCTGATTTGCATGTGTGCGGCCCGGAAGTCGCCTAATTTGCATAACTCCAGAGGTTTTGGCCCCTGATTCGCACATGCACCACTCAATTTGCATAGTCATGGGCTCTGGTTTGCATATTAATGTCCTCATTTGCACAAACACAGGTCTAATCCTGTCTTATTTGCATATCTGTCACCTAATTTGCATAACTCCAAGGTGCGGGATTCGCAAATCACCGCTCGATTTGCATATTCATGGTTCCGCTTTGCATATTAACGTCCTCATTTGCATACGCGGAGGCCGAATCCTCTCTTATTTGCATATCGGCCGCCTAATTTGCATACCCGAATGCTTCTGTGCTCGGTTTGCACGCGAGCCCTGCTCATTTGCATAAACCCGCCTCCCCCTCATCTGCATACGCCCTCATCTGCATATCCCCGCCCCCAGGAAGCAGCGCGAGGCGGAGGCCCAGGAGCGCGCGCGGCGCCGGGAGCAGAAGCAGCGGCGCCGGGAGCAGCGGCAGCGCGAGCGCGAGCAGCGTCGGCGCCGCCGCCGGGCGGAGCGCGGCGGGCGTGGCGCCCCGCGCTGCCCTGCCCACCCGGAAGCGGCGGAACCGGAAGCGGAAGCGGAAGCGGCGGGTGCGGATGCGCGGCGGCGCCTGCTGCTGGCCCAGCGCGACCTGCAGAGCGTGCGGCTGGTGGCGGCGCTGCTGGGCCGCGTGGAGGTGGGCGGGGCCGGGAGCCGGGGGTGGGGCGTGGTCGGGGGTGGGCGGGGCCGGGGGGCGGGCGTGCCTGACCCCGTGACCCCGCCCCTCCCGCCCCGCAGGCCTCGCGCCTGCGCCAGCGGCGCCTGCAGGAGGCGGAGCTGCGCCGCGTGGAGCAGGAGAAGCGCCGGGCGCTGGGGCTGCAGCGCCGCGAGCGCGAGCTGAGGCAGAGGCTGCTGGCGCTGCTGCTCGGCCGCGGGGGCGCCCGGCCCGGCGCGCAGGGGCCCGGAAGCGGAAGCGCGGAGGCCGGAAGCGGAACCGGAAGTGGAGCCGGAAGCGGAAGCGGCGCCGACCTCCTGCGCCCCGTGCTCGACATCCTGCACAGCGTCGCCGCCCGCGCCGCCGACCCCGACCCCGACCCCGACCCCGCCCCGGCGGAGGAAGCGGAAGGGGCGGGGCAGCAGCAGCGGCGTCGGCACCGGGGCGGGGCGGGGTGCGAGCGCAGGCGCAGCAGACACCGGCGGGACGGACGCGCTCGCTCCCGGTCGCCCCGCGCTCGCCCCGGGCAAATAAATAAAGGAAGCGAGGAATGAATGAATGAATGAGTGAGTGCGCATGGTCGATTCGCGTCGGTCGTTCATTATTCACTCATTCGTTCGTTCGCCGCCTTAGTCTCTCACTCATTCGTTCATCCACTCCGTCATTTATTCATTCATTCATTCACTCACTCATTCACTCATTCGTTCCCTCAGCCAGCCCCTCACTCACCCCTTCAGTCAGTCACTCATTCGTTCGCCCCAGTCATCCCCCCGCCGCGCCCGTCGTTCACTCATTCGCTCGCTCATTCCTTCATTCATTCCTTCATTCATTCATTCATTCGCCCCCTGACGCCAGCCCCGACCCCGTTTCCCCCCTCCCCCCCCCCGCCCGCCCCGCGCTGCCGTCATCCGGGCCCGGGTTAATCCCGGATCAGCCTGGAGGCCGCGCGCGTCACTCGGGGCGGGGCCGGGGCGGATTTAAACCCCGGGGTCGGGGCGGGGCGGGGTCGCCGGGCGCCATGGCGGACGCGGACCTGGACGGGGACTTCCGGCTGCTGACGGGGCTGGCGCAGGGCTTCATGGTGTCGCGGGTGGGCGGGGCGGGCGGGGCGCGACCCCTGTGTGACCCCTGTGACCCCCGTGTGACCCCGCGACCCCCGTGTGACCCCCGTGTGACCCCGCGACCCCTGTGTGACCCCGCGACCCCTCCCTGACCCTGGTGACCCCCGTGTGACCCCGCGACCCCTGTGTGACCCCGTTTGACCCCGCCCTGACCTCTGTGACCCCGCCCTGACCCCCGTGTCCCCGTTTGACCCCCGTGACCCCGTTTGACCCCGCGACCCCCGTGTGACCCCCGTGTGACCCCGCGACCCCCGTGTGACCCCGCGACCCCCGTGTGACCCCGCGACCCCGTGTGACCCCTGTGTGACCCCGCGACCCCGCCCCGACCCTGTGACCCCCGTGTGACCCCGCCCTGACCCCCGCGACCCCGCGCTGACCCCGTGCGACCCCGCCCCGCCCCCGCAGGTCCTGTTCGCCGCCTGCGAGCTGGGCGTGTTCGACGCCCTGGACCCCGCCCCGCTGAGCGCGCGCGACGTCGCCTCCCGCCTGGGGCTCAGCGCGCGGGGGCGGGGCCGCTGCTGGACGCCTGCGCCGCCCTGGGGCTGCTGCTGCGGCGGCGGCGGCGGCGGGCGGGCCGGGCGGGGGCGGAAGGTGCGCGGGGGGGGGGGACCCGGAAGCGGAGCGGGCGGGGGAGGCGGAAGCGGAAGCGGGCGGGGCCGGCCGCCATGAATGAACGACCCCGCCCCCGCCCCGCAGGCCCCCGCCTACGCCCTGGCCCCCGTCGCCCGCCGCCTCCTCGTCGCCCGCAGCCCCCAGGCCCAGCGCTCGACGCTGCGCTACCTGGCGGGGACCACGTGGGCCGTGTGGGGGCGGCTGGGCGGGGCCGTGAGGTGAGGGCGGGGCGGGTCGGGGCGGTCATTCATTCGTTCATTCATTCATTCGTTCGTTCATTCATTCATTCATCAGTTTATTCATTCATTCGTTCATTCATTCATTCGTTCATTCATTCATCCGTTTGTTCATTCGTTCGTTCACTCGTGTGTTCATTCATTCATTCATCCATTTGTTCATTCGTTCATTCATCCGTTCATTCATTCATTCATCCGTTTGTTCATTCATTCGTTCACTCGTGTGTTCATTCATTCATTCATTCATCAGTTTATTCATTCATTCGTTCACTCGTGTGTTCATTCATTCACTCATCCATTTGTTCATTCGTTCACTCGTGTGTTCATTCATTCATTCATTCATCCGTTTGCTCATTCGTTCGTTCATTCATTGATTCGTTCCTTTTGATCATTCATTCGTTCGTTCGTTCGTGCGTTCATTTGTTCGTCCATTCATCCGTTTATTCATCTCTTCGTTTCACTCATTCGTTCCTTCATCTGTTCCTTCCTTCGTTCGTTCATTCGGATCCGCCCGCCGCGCCCCAGGGAGGGGCGGAACCAGTACCCGCAGGCGCTGGGCGTGGCCACGCGGGAGCCGTTCGAGGCGATCTACAGGTGAGCGCGGGGCAGGGCAGGGCGGGGGTCAGTAATGCATTCATTAATTCACTCACTCGTTAATTCACTCGCTAATCCATTAATTCATTGACTCACTCGTCCATTCAGTAATTCATTGCTTCCCTGATTCACTCACTAACCCATTCATTCATTCATTCATTCATTCATTCACCCAGTAACCCAGCCATTCATTGCTTCGCTGATTCACCGATTCATTCCTTCACTAATTCATTCCCTTTCTCCGAATCACTCACTCACCCACCCCCCGCCCCCCGCCCCGCCCAGGTCGCCCGCCGAGCGCCTCCTCTTCCTCCGCGCGCTGCAGGAGACCTGGGCCGCCTGGGGCGACCGCGTCCTCACGGCCTTCGACCTCGAGGGATTCGGGGCCGTGTGCGACGTCGGGGGTCGGTGCTGCGGGGCGGGGCGGGGCGGGGCCGGGTGACCCCTGACCCCGCCCTCCGTGACCCCGCCCCGACCCCTGACCCCGCCCCCCCAGGCGGATCCGGAGCCCTGGCCGCCGCCTTCGCCCGGCTCCACCCCGGCAGCCGCGTCTCGGTGTTCGAGACCCCCGGAGGTCGTGGCCGACGCCCGCGCGCACTTCCGGGCCCCGCGCGTGCGCTTCGTGGGAGGTCGGTGCGGGGCGGGCGGGGCCTTCACTCGTTCTCACCCGGTCACTCATTCATTCATTCATTCATTCACACGGCGATCCCCGCCCGGACCCCGCAGGCGACTTCTTCCGCTCGCCGCTGCCGCCCGCCGACCTCTACGTCCTGGCGCGGGTGCTGCACGACTGGCCGGACGAGGCCTGCGCGGAGCTGCTGGGACGCACGCGCGGCGGTGACGGGCGGGGCCCGGGGAGGGGACGGGCGGGGGTCACTGCTTCCTGTGTGCATTTGGGGTCACTTCCCACTCACTTCCTGTCTACTTCCCGCCCACTTCCCGTTCACTTCCCATTCACTTCCTGCTCACTTCCTGCTCACTTCCTATCTACTTCCTGTTCACTTCCAGCTTACTTGCTGTTTACTTCCTGTTCACTTCCTGGTCACTTCCTGTTTCCTTCCTGCCCACTTCCCGCTTGATTCCCGCTCACTCCCCCTCACTTCCCATTCACTTCCTGCTCACTTCCTATCTACTTCCTGTTCACTTCCAGCTCATTTCCTGTTTATTTCCTGTTCATTTCTCAGTCACTTCCTGTTTCCTTCCCGCCCACTTCCCGCTCGTTTCCCCTCACTTCCTGTTCACTTTCCGCTCACTTCCCGCTCACTTCCTGTCCACTTCCCGTCCACTTCCTGTCACTTCCTTCCACTTCCCGCCCGCTCCCGGCTCACTTCCTGCCCGCCTCCCGCCCCGGCAGGCTCCGCCCTGCTCATCGTGGAGGCCGTGCTGGACCGCGGAGGGCGGGGCCCGCTGCCGGCGCTGCTGCTGTCGCTGAACATGCTGGCGCAGGCGGCGGGGCGCGAGCGCACGGAGGCCGAGTTCCGGGCTCTGACCCGCGCCGCCGGCTTCCGCCGCTTCCGCCTGCGCCGCCCCGGCGGCCCCTACGCCGTCATGCTGGCCCGGAAGTGACGCCGCGCGTGGGGGGCGGGGCCGAGGGCGCGGGTGAATAAAGTCGGGGCGAAACTACATTTCCCGTGAGTCCCTGCGACACCCACTTCCGGGAAAACGCTGCATTTCCTGACGTTATCGAAAGGGTTGGACTACATTTCCCATGATTCCCCCGGGGCGGCACTTCCGGGAAAACGCGGCACTTCCTGTCACAGAGACACGTGGGGCCTACATTTCCCATGAGTCCGTGGGGGCACACATAGGACCGGTTCCCGAAAACTACAACACTTCCTGTCTCAGTGACATGAGCGGACTGCATTTCCCATGAGTCCACGCGGCATTGCCGGTGAGGTAACACATGCGCAGTTCTGGAAAAACGCAGCGCTTCCTCTCGCTGTGATAGTCGGGGACTACATTTCCCATGATTCCCTGCGACCCCACAGGACCGGTTCCTGTAAAACACGGAACTTCCTGTCTCAGTGACTGGTGTGGACTACATTTCCCGAAAAGCCCTGCGACACCTAAGGACCGCTTCCGGTAAAACACGGAACTTCCTGTCTCAGTGACTGGTGTGGACTACATTTCCCAAAAATCCCTGCGACACGCATAGGGCCAGATCTGGTGAAACACTTCCTGCCGCAGTGACACGTGGGGACTACATTTCCCATGAGTCCCTGCGACAGGCATAGGACCGGTTCCTGAAAAGCACAGCACTTCCTCTCGCTATAAACACGGTAATAATTATGGCGGACTACATTTCCCATGACTCCACGCCACACATACAGGACCGGTTCCGGTAAAACACGGCACTTCCTCTCACTATGAGAGTCGGGGACTACATTTCCCATGAGTCCCTGCGACCCTGCAGGACCGGTTCCTGTAAAACGCGGCCCTTCCCGCCTCACTGACAGGAGAGGACTACATTTCCCATGAGCCCTGCGGGGCATGCAGAGGCTTCACACACGGCCACTGGAGTGAACTACATTTCCCATGATGCCCTGTTCTTCGTTTAAAGCACCGCAGCGGGGAGAACGTGTGGCCCGCGTCGCCCAGTCACTGAAACCGCGGGGGTTGACGGGATCCCGGGGGCAAATGTGGGGACGCGAGGACCCCGTTGCCCGTGGGCCAAGAGCGCACAGGTCCGGTCCGCTCAAACCGGGTGTTCCTGCAGCCACTTCCGGTCCCGTGACTCGCGATTTGCCACAACAAAGATGGCGGCGTCGCCACTTCCGGTCCTGGCAAACGCGGATATCAGCGCCGTGGAGCGGAACGTGCGGATTCTTCCGCCGTGGGGGCGACTTCCGGGAGCCGCAGGGGCCGATAGCCACGGCAGGAAACGACGCGGGAGCCCCTGAGGCCGGCAGGGAAGCCACTTCCGGTCCCGGCCCTCATCAAACATGGCGGGTGCTGCACTTCCTGTGCCGGGAAATGGTGCAACGGCGAATGAGGTCCCTCCCACTCCCGCCCAGGACACGCGACGCGGACGCCCGGCCTCAAAAATATCGCTTCTGTTTATTCATCCCCGGCCCCGCCCCCTCCTCAGCCACGCCCACTGCGGCGGGGACCGGGAAAATAATAAATAAAATAATAATAATGACGACGATGGCGGCGGGCGGTGACGTCATTCCCGGGCGGGGGCGGGGCTGGCGATGGCGGCGGTGACGTCATTCTCGGTGTGGGGCGGGGCCGGCGATGGCGGATGTGACGTCACGGGGCCCGGCTGGGGTCACGCGGGGCGGGCGGCTTCCATCATGGGTCGCCGGGGGTCACGGGGCGGGGCTGTGGGCGATTTGCATGTTAATTAGCATATCGATCCCCGCCCCGCTCGCATTTGCATGCGATTTGCATACCGACCCCGCCAATCTCACGCTGCTGCTGGTGGCTTCGTCTCCGGGGGTCACGCAGGGGTCACGGCGTCGCCCTGGGGTCACAGGAAAAGGAAGTCAGAGCCAGGGGCGGTCAGGGTCCTGTGGAGGTCACGCCAGGGTCAGCGGCCGGGGATAATTTGCATATTAATGAGGCAGAGGTCTGCATGTTAATGAGCAGGAGGGTTAATTTGCATATTAATAAAAAGATTATCGCATACTAATTAGGGCCAATTTGCATATTAATGAAGCAGCTGCTTTCGTGTCAATGAACACGAGGTTAATTTGCATATTAATGAATATATTCGCCTCGATAACTAGGCCTAATTTGCATACCAACAATGAGAACTCTGCATGCTGATGAGCGCCCATGGCTAATTTGCATATCAATGATCTAGAGGTTTGCATGTTAATGAGCAGGAGGGTTTATTTGCATATTAATAAAACGAATATCGCATAGTAATTAGGGCCACTTTGCATATTAATGAAGCAGCTCATTTCCAGTAGATAATTTGCATATTAATGAATCCATGTGCATTGATAATGAGGCCTAATTTGCATACCGACAATCAGATCTCTGCATGCTGATGAGCTCCTGTGGCTAATTTGCATATTAATGAAATAGAGGTTTGCATGAGCAGGAGGTTAATTTGCATCGATAACGAGGCCTAATTTGCATATTGATAACCAGATCACCGCATGTTGATGAGCGCCTATGGCTGATTTGCATATTAATGAACTGGCTGCTTGCGCGCCCATGAGTACCTGGATAATTTGCATATTAACGAATCTATTTGCATTGATAATGAGGCCTAATTTGCATATTAACAACGAGAACTCTGCATGCTGATGAGCGCCTGTGACTAATTTGCATATTAATGATCTAGAGGTTTGCATGTTAACGAGCAGGAGGGTTAATTTGCATATTGATGATATTTGCATCGATAATGAGGCCTGATTTGCATATCGACAACCAGAACTCTGCATGCTGACGAGCGCCCATGGCTAATTTGCATATTAACGACCCGGCTGCTTTCGCGCCAATGAGCAGGAGGTTAATTTGCATATTGATGAATCTCTGCATCATTAATGACGCTAATTTGCATATCGATGAGCGCCATCGACGCTAATGGCGACAGCGGCTGGTTTGCGTAGGAGAGAATTTGCATACCGACCCGGGGTCAATCTGAGGTCACGCCGGGGTCACTCCGGGGTCACGGTGACCTCATGCTCGCACGCACGGCTCATTTGCATATTAATGACCCGGGCGCTCATTTGCATGCTCACCCGCTCTGCACCCTGCGGGGCTCCCGCCGCTTCTCCAGCCCCGGGGTCACTCTGGGGTCACCCTGAGGTCACGCTGAGGTCACGCACGCACGCACGCGCTTATCTGCATGTCGATGACCGTGCAATCATTAATTCGCACCCTCGCTCACCCGATCCGCACCCTGCGTGGCTCCAGCTCGCTTCTCCCTCCCCGGGGGTCACTCTGGGGTCACTCTGGGGTCACGCTGAGGTCACCCTGAGGTCACGCACGCACACGCTCATCTGCACGCATGTCAGTGACCCCCGTGCAATCATTAACCCGCTCCCTCGCTCACCCGCTCCGCTCGCTGCCCCCGCCCCGGGGTCACGCGGGGGTCACCCCGGGGTCGCCGGGGGTCAGAGGCCGTGGTCGCAGTCCACGTCGCGGCAGATGTACCACAGGATGACGTAGAGGATGAGCAGGATCGCGAAGATGAAGAGCGCGACCAGCACGGCCTTCGTCACGGGCGACACCAGCGCCTGCATCGCCACGCCCACCGCGCCGGCCACGCCCACCGCGCCGGCCACGCCCACCGCGCCGGCCACGCCCACCGCGCCGGCCACGCCCACCGCGGCGACCCCGGCCGAGCAGCAGCAGCAGCCGCAGCAGCGGCAGCAGCCGGGAGGGCGGGGCGAGGCGGGGCGGGCGGGGAAGTCAGGGCGGGACTTCCTGTCGGGGTGTCGGAGCGCGCGCGAAATAACGCGCGGGGCGGGGAGATGCGCAGACGCGAGGAAACGGAAAGCGGAAGTCAGGGCGGGACTTCCTGTCGGGGTGTCGGAGCGCGCGCGAAATAACGCGCGGGGCGGGGAGATGCGCAGACGCGAGGAAACCGAAAGCGGAAGTCAGGGCGGGACTTCCTGTCCGTCATTCACGGAGTGCGCGAAATAACGCGCGGAGCGGGGAGATGCGCAGACGCGAGGAAACCGAAAGCGGAAGTCAGGGCGGGACTTCCTGTGCGTCATTCACGGAGTGCGCGAAATAACGCGCGGGGCGGGGAGATGCGCAGACGCGAGGAAACGGAAAGCGGAAGTCAGGGCGGGACTTCCTGTCGGTCAGTCACGGAGGGCGCGAAATAACGCGCGGGGCGGGGAGATGCGCAGACGCGAGGAAACCGAAAGCGGAAGTCAGGGCGGGACTTCCTGTCGGTCAGTCTCGGAGGGCGCGAAATAACGCGCGGGGCTGGGAGATGCGCAGACGCGAGGAAACCGAAAGCGGAAGTGAGGGTGGGACTTCCTGTCCGTCAGTCACGGAGGGCGCGAAATAACAGGCGGGGCCGGCGACCGCGCAGACGCAAGGAAACGGAAGGCGGAAGTCAGGGCGGGACTTCCTGTCGGTCAGTCACGGAGGGCACGAAATAACGCGCGGGGCGGGGACATGCGCAGACGCAAGGAGACGGAAGGCGGAAGTCAGGGCGGGACTTCCTGTCGGTCAGTCACGGAGGGCACGAAATAACGCGCGGGGCGGGGACATGCGCAGACGCAAGGAGACGGAAGGCGGAAGTCAGGGCGGGACTTCCTGTCGGCCAGTCACGGGGGGCGCGAAATAACGCACTGGGCCGTTGACTGCGCAGACACGTAAAAAAAAAAAAAAAAACCGGAAAAACGGAAGTGAGGGCGGGATTTCCTGTCTGTCAGTCACGGGGTGCGCGAAATAACGCGCGGGACCGGCGACTGCGCAGATGCAAGAAAATGGAAGGCGGAAGTCAGGGTGGGACTTCCTGTGTGTCAGTCACGGAGTGCGCGAAATAATACACTGGGCCGGCGGAAGTGAGGGCGGGACTTCCCGTCTGTGACGCGGGAGTTCCTTTGCTAAATAACGCACTGGGCCAGCAACCGCGCAGACGGGAAGGG